AAAAAAAAAAAAAAAAAAAGGTTGGGAAGAAGGATGAAAAGAACTTGATCTTAATAGATATTGAAAAGAAAAAGAAAAAAGCCACTAAATAACTAAGGGTAAAAAAAAACTACAATCCTAGAAAACCAAAACCCTGTTAAAATGCCACCCACTTACTATAATAGAGACTCAAAAAGAAGACGAGAGAGGTTGTGACCAAATGAACTGAGACTGCACCACCACCACCACCACCACCACCATCAACATCATAACTCAGCTCTCACCACCATCAGCAGCAGCAGCAGTAGTAGTATTGTGGGATTTCATTCTGGAGACTAGCAAAGCAAGAAGACATTCCATAATTGTGGCCAAAATAAGTATGGAGAGAAGAACTAGCCAGTAGCTTGTTCCCTTTTTTTAATATATCCAAAGCACCAAAACTTCTGACAACTCCTTGTACCAACAAGCTCCATTGAACTGCAGGCAGGCAGGAGAGGAAGAAGATGACTGAAATCCTGCACCACTTAGTATCCGTTTACTACACTTCTCTTCTCTGATGCTGCTGTTGTTGTTGTTACTGGTTTAGCGCCCTTCGGGGCATCTCCAGTTTTCATAACTGATCCGTTCTCAGCGTTCTTGGGTGTCTCTTCCTTTACTAAATCACTCAAAGGCGCTTCAACTGGCTTTGGAGTTTTCATGTCTACTACTACTTCAGACACATCCTTCTTCTCATCAGTAGGCTTTCCTTCCCAGACCTGCATTTTTAAAGGAGTATTAAATGCCATGAACAAAAACAACCTGGATTCTGAGAGAAGCATCCTGGAACATGATTAAGATATACTCCGATACCTGTTTCTTGAACTGCTGTTGCTTGGCTTTCTTCTCTTGAATGGTCTTTTGTCGGGTCTCGTAAAAACCAAAATCGTCCAAAATGCATGTTTTGCTCACATGCTCCTTGAAGATTTTTACCATTTTAAGTCCAGGCTCGAGCTTGACCTGCACACAGAACGCGTGTTTTTTTACAATCAGTGACAAATAAGATATAACCATAAACGGAATTACAAGTTTCCAAAAGCAACTACCTCTTGTGTATCCCTGCTGTTGGTAACAGGCTTGTTCTCATTGTTCTCAAGAATAATGTGTTTCAAAAGACTGTTGGGAACATCCTTCACTACATGCCACTTAACAGGGAAACAGCCGTTCCATTTGTCTTGTTGCCAGTATTCCAAGTTCTTCTGAAAGTCGACTGGTCCTACCATCTCAGCAAGGCCAACAAATTGCCCACTGGTATTGACCTATTCAAGGAAGAACGTGATATCAAATGCGAGAAAAAACAATGATCGTTAGTAACAAATAACCATTTCAGTTAGATACCCACCGAAAAGAAAAGAAAAACGGAGCAACCATCAGCCTTCTCTTGGGCTTCCTGGTATGCAGCATCGAGTTTCTTGTTTCCATTAGGTGTGCTAGCCCAAACATTATATTTGATGCTTTTATGCACATCATCTTCGCTGTACGATTTAATAACAAAAAATTTGGCCTCAGCGTATTCCTCAGGAAAATCTGCCTTGTTGTATTGATCCCGGTCTGGTGTGGACACCTTATCCTTTTCTTCATCGTCAGCTGCTTTCGTAGGCAAGAGTTGTCCCTTAACAGTCAGAACACTCGGCACAAATCCCTTCTGGTTCTTGCCACCCTTAGCTCTTGGTCCCCTGTTAAGCTCATTCAAACCATCCATGTTTTCATTTCCATATCCATAATAACCACCATTTCGTCCCCTAGGCTTGTATTTGTTGTCCACAGCAAGCCAAACACGACCATTAGATCGTGAATCATAACCATGTGAGGCAAACCCTACACCAGATCGAACTGTATTTCCAAATTGACCGTACAATTTATTGGGGTACATCCGATTTATATAACCCTGGGTGGTATTCATTCCTGACATTGGTCTAGCATGGGGAAAACCCTTTATCACAAAAGAAGATGAAAGAAATATATTAAATGATGAGAATTCAGAAGGGAAAAGGTGCATAGAAGTAGAAATAGGAAGCCTAACGATACTTACTACATAATGAGAGCCAGGACGGAAACTAGGACTCCTTGAAGAAGGCATGTTGTTTGCATTAGTGATAGAAGAATTGATAGTAGAGCTACTGACAAGCCTAGACTGTCCATCTGAGTACATAGGACCATCTGTCCATGGGAAAGAAGATCTCAACCCGTCAAAACCATACCTCGGATCCTGATAACCCGAAGTAGGAATATGTCCTGGCAAAGCACCCCTAGCATATGCATTAGAACCCAATGTTGAATTTTGATATGCAGATTTTAAGGGAGCTGCACCGTTATTTCCTTTCGTTCCACCACCATTCGTCAAGCCATTACCATTGGGATTAGCTGTGTCCACTGAAATGGGCTTTTGCTCAGTGGCTGCAGGGGTAGAAATATCTCCCTGAGATTGAGGAACTGTAGTAGGACTAGGAGTATACTGCCCACTGGTTGGAGTAAGAGGTTGAAAATATGGGGGATATTGATAGTGCTGAGGTCCATACAGCTGACCGTCATTCCCCATAGAAGGAACCGGAGAAGCTGCAGGTGAATAGGGACCGTAGGGTCCATATCCGTAACCATGGTGATACATAAGAGATCCATTATCCCCGTAGACACCCTGAAGAATTTGAAAAAAAAACAAAAACACAACAGATTAGAACAGTTCAATTTGGGAACAAGTGAAATTGTGGAGAAAAATCAGTAGCGATAACTTACAGAAGTCATTTCAACCCCATCTGAATTTGTATATCTAGAATAATCCTCCCATTCATTACCAGTCCCATCATAACCTACAAAACAACCCTCAGGAAGTTAGAGATAATGAGTACAACTTATTAGAACATATATTATTATTAGTACATGAACTTGAATTCATAAGAAAAGGATACCATTTCAAGAGAAACCACTCATACAATCAAATTCTAGCATCCATAAATTAACATACCTCCATAGTAATAAGATGGGTATCCATTCGGTACATAGCACATGTTTGGATCCACAAAGTCCTGTAAAAATGGAGTCACAGACCGTTCATTTGGAATCTGACCAATAGCAGCATTCCCAGAATCAATGGACCCATATTGATTAGCGGTTGGCTGCAAAAACAATAAAAAAATCTGCAGTCAACTCATGAAAAACGAAGTATAAGCACACAACTAATCCAAATCTCACCAACTCGCCCTAATTAGATAGAGTTGACACAAAAAGGACAACTTGAAACAGGCAATATTTCTGTTGTATGCCTATTTAATTGAAAATATTTACTAAAAGACACTCATAACAGGGGCTATCAGTGAACTTCAATTATCTTGCAATACATCTACAAGAAAACAGAACTTCAGCTTCGAATCTAGGAAGCAGTACCTTTTTCGTTGACTCTGGAATCTCAACAGGCTTGGCCTGAGCATCCAATGACAACTTCTGCAGCAAATCTGCAGCTTCTGTAAGAATCAGAAGTAAAGGAAATACACACTTCGTGCCACAAAATCAATATACACTCAAGATCACCAAAAGTCATTCAAAAGAACGAAAGATGGGCAAAAACATTACTTTCACGTACAAACCCAACTAATAACATTAACAAGAAAGAAGTAATTCAAAAAGATGCGAAAACAAATCAGATCCCATCATGGAAACAATACAGAAACCTTCAACAGCCAAACGCAAACGAAGATAAATCAACTACGCTACTCCCATAACCACAGATCAAATAGAAACCCAAAACATCGAAGGTTAGCCAAATACAAAACTATCCCCAATAATCTCTAATCCCCCCTAGACAAAATACTCCAAACCCAGAAAAGCACGTACATAATCAAGAAAAGAAGAAAACCACATCACAGATCCACAAATCAAAACCAATAAGCACCATAAACCAAGATCCAATTCGAAAAAACAAAAGGGCACAGAACACAGAAAACAGAAAACCCATATGAAATCCGAAAGTAAGGATACGATCCGTAGAAGGAGGCGAAGCAACGGTAGCCATGGAAGTAAATCTCGCAGAGACAGAGGAAAGAACAGGATGGAGGGAGCTGCTGAAGAGCTGGCAATGAAAATAAACCGAAAAAAAAACCCTAAAATCCCAAAACAAAAACTGGATAATGGAAAACGAGGGTTTGGAGATGAAAATCAAAGGGAAAAAACCCTAAAGAGAGAGAGAAAAAAAGGAGGAAAACAGAGAAAGAGAGAGAAATAGATAGAGAGAGAGAGATGGGGTGGGCAAAGGGGAACCAACGGGTCTCGCAGCCGCCAGAGGGTTTCTTCTGGGTTTCGGGAAGAAAATAAAGAGAGGGTTTTGGACACCCAAAACGGTGATTCAAATAGCATACACAGAGACCCTCGCTTCAGTTCCAAAACCCTCACCCGCGGGTGATTTATTCCGACTTTCTATTCGGTGGAATTCCACGTGGCTAGTCTTGAGTGGTGTGGTGATGCGGAAAGGAAGACTTAGGAGAAGTCAAGGAAGGGGTTTGATTGGTGGGTGATGTAAAGATGGGTAAGGATAGGGAAAGAGAACGTGGTGGAGTTATTGCCACTTAGCAGACGAAAACCTAATTGGGAAAGGACAATGGTGTCCCTATCTGGGATGGGATTTTACACTAATCCCCAATTCTGGAAGCCAAAATCTTATTCCAATAACGGACGGGGTATCCTTATCCCGGTTAGGGTTATCTCTATCCTGGATACCGAACCTTAGCCATTAAGGCTTCGGAATCTTCTTCTGCCTTCTTTGGTCGCTGACTAGTTGCTTGACTTGAGAAGGAGGCCATCTTAGATCGTGTTTGAATTTTGGGCTAAATCTTGCAATTATTCCAAAATTATGGGCCAAAATTCGAATTAAAAAAATGTTAAAATTTTATTTGCAACCATACCCCTACACATTCTAAATTTTCAAAAATACCAAATTGTACGCTAGTTGTCACGGTCATCCTCGTTCAAGGCATGTTGCCCATGGCCGCATGCTCATGACAAACCCAACCCTTCATGTCTTTTCATATTCTAGTATTTTACTTTTGTATTTCTAGAAAGTATGACGTTTCATAAATATCATGTCTAGGCCTGTCAGACATCAAATGCCTCAAAATGTATTATATGAGGATACGACTAGTTGTCAATTTCTCCCTACCCAAGGTTATATACTGTAAGCCGTTGTTATTTCTCTCTTATTTGCTTATATAACGTCTCTTTCGAAAATCTCTCTCTATCCTCGTTTTTCTAAAACCTTCTCTTAAAACTGAACCCAGAGGCTCGAGCATACGTCGCTTGGTCGTAGGCGATGCAAGAACGAATTGGCTTAGCTCACTTGTCGTTGGAAAGTGAGTGTTGCACAATCGCAAATCCGCTGCCATTAAAAGTACGATTGTGACACTAGTGTCGTCAAAGCGAATGGGAGCAGACTCGTAATCGTGTGGGCGCCTTGTTACGCAATTGAAGTGACAGATTTCGAGCGAGCGATTTGCTTCTCTGCAGAAAGATGCGCTTATAAGTTGTACAATTAGATCAATTTTGAAGACGAGATTCAGGCAGGATGGAAGGATTCGGTTGTGGTCTGACATGTTGATGAGACTGAAACAAACAAACCCCAACCTAAGCCAAAATTGTCCCAAGACTGAGGAGCGGAATAGGCGGCTAGCCGGTTAGAATAAAAATAATTACTAATATTAAAATAAAACTCAAATATATTACCATAATTGACATTTGAAAAAATATATATTAAAATATAAAAATTTCAATAGTATTTAATTGCTGAATTAATAAAATAAAATAAAATTTTAATTTTGTATAAATTGATATGGTTTTTTTTTATTAATTATGGGGCTGTATATTTCTTTTTTTTGTTTACTTTAAATTATAAGGTAATATTAGGATTTTTTCATTAAATGAATTTAATTAATAAATTTTATTGTTTTTTTTTTTAACTAAAATTTTATTTATTTATTAAATAGATAAATTTGACTTTTAAAATTTTGTATTAAAAGAGCTAACGTAAGCATTTATTTGAGTGTATATATGGAAATGGTTTATTTTTTAGATTATGAAAATGATTATTTTAAATTTTTTTAATTTAAAATTCTTATTACCGTTAACATATTTACATTTAAATTTTAAAATTTTAGAAATTATTATATTTTAAAATTTTGATTTTTACGAAATTCTCAGAATTGGAATATTTTATGCAATTATATTTGATAAAAAAAAATTAAAAATTCCCATGAAAATTACAATTTAGTCTCATATTTAAATAAAATTACTGATTAATATTCTTACGGTTTATTTTAAAATTCAACTTATAAGAGTGAAAAATTGAACCTCTGACCTTTGAACATGCTCGTTAAGTTAGATTAAGAGGCAACATGCTCGTTTAAGCGTGAATTTCAACCAACGAATTTTAACCCCATCAAAATTTATTTACTTTTTTACCTCACAAGAACTCCATATAAACTTCGCATAGTATAAAAAGTTACCCGCCAAGTAAAAAAAAAATGGTGGGGTTTGGGTAAATTAGATTGTTAGTGGCACCCATCAATGTCAAGGTCCAAGTTGTGATCGTTTCCCATTCACTTTCTCGGATTTTCTCGAGAAACAAACAAGTCTACAACTACAAGAGTGCAAGATGAACACAAATTCAACGTCATGAGTATCTACCGCTTAGAACTAGATATCAATTTTGTTCTTATTCTTTTAAAACTCTTAAACTTGCTATCAATACTCCTTTCGTATTGATATCTGTTCGTGTAACGCTGATATATTGTAAGCTATTTGTTTTATTACATTTAGACGTATGAATGTATCAGAAATAACAAATTTTTTATTTTTTAAATGTTAGATTTTGCTGATGGGTGGGTTGATGCAACGACCCAGGCCTCCTACTAGCCGATATTGTCATCTTTAGAGGACAAGATTGAGCCCAAGTAAATAAATTATTGGGTCGAACGACCTGAAAGCCTACCTCAAGTCGAGCCGAGGTAAGTTGAGTGCACCCACAATCCAATGAAACTCAACTTAAATTGTTAAGAAATAAAGTTAGGGCGTTCCAAACTTTAGAACGCATTTCGACCGATCATTTCGTGGCAATAGGCGTCACTAAATTTATAGACTAAATTATAACAAATTTAAAAGTTCGAGATTAGGACTAGATGTGAACGGAGATTTATTTAATAAAATAAATAAAATTGGAAAAAAAAAAAAAGGATAATACTAAAATTCCACCGACTTTACCCTCCATGCATTCATGCACAGAAAGCTTCATCAAAATCCAACAACACGACAGTGAAGACCCTATTCTTGCGCTATAAGCATCCACATTCATCTTCTCTTCATTTATTTCTTCACTATTTTTCTTTTTCTGTATCCCAACGCGTTAATGCCGCCTTTTTCAGCCATTCAATGCAATGCCAAAAACAAAAAATTAAAAAAAAAAAAATCCATTAACAAGATGATTAATCCCCAAAATTAAAGAACACAACAAATTTGGTGTTTATCTTCACTTCGCTGACCATTTTTTGACTGGAAATTTGGAAAACAAACACACCCACCTCCCAAATCATTAGTATTTTCCAATTGGGTTTGAGAATTTTCAGAGGTTTACGCCGTTTCTTTAGTTTACTTTGAAGTTGGGTAAAGTGGTTGAGAATTGAGAATGGAAATGGGAAGAAGAAGAAGAAGAAGAAGAAGAATAAATAAAAAAGAGTGCGTGACGAGGAAAGGGGGATTGGTGGGGGCACCACGGACATGCGCACTAAGAATAAGAACGCCCTGGCGGATAGTTATGATGGCGATGATGATGGAATTGTGAAATACAGCTTTTCTGAATCAGAACAGTACAAAATCGAAGAACCCTTTTGAAATTTTTTTGTGGGTCCGTTTTGTTTTTCCGCCATAGCCAAGAACCCAACAACCCCACATCATTACCATCAAGAAGAAGAAGAAGAGGAAGAAGAAGTATTACTTACTCTTTGTTCTTTCCCTTTCGTTCTTTTCATTTCTCACCAAGAACAAATCGCGGTTTCCCTCTTTTTCTTTGCTTCTGTTTCAAGGCATTTTCTATCATCTTCTTCTTCGATTTCTGGTTTGCTTTCTTTGATTCTTGGGCGATGGTGGGTTGTTGAAGAACTGGAGTTTTTGGGTTTCTTTGTTCATCAGTTTGGGTTTGATTCAATGGGAAATTGCTGGTATCGATGGGAACCTACGGCTAATAGGGTATCTTCTAACGCAAAATCAGGTACGAACTAGTGGGTTTTGATGCTATTTTGTTCAGTTCTTCTCTTCGATCATGGCGATGATTCTGCCATTCTGATGATGAAACTCTGTTACGAACTAGTGGTTTTTGATGCTATTTTGTCCATTTCTTTCGATCATGGCTATGATTCTGCCATTCTGATGATGAAACTCTGTTAAGAACTAGTGGGTTTTGATGCTATTTTGTTCATTTATTTTCTTCGATCATGGCGATGATTCTGCCATGAATGATACTCTGTTTTCTTCCCCTGTTTGTTTGTTTCGAGTATCTATAGCTCTGTCTGTTGCAGGGCTTCTCTTAGCTATCTTACTTTCTTGATTGCTTAAGCCAATTTTAGAAAAATCTGAAGAAATATGTGAAGAAATCTGACAGTTTATTTGTTTTGATCTGCCGAAAACATGTAATGGGAGGAAAACTCTGTTTATCCACTCATAAACCTCTGTTTCTTAGTGGGTTGATTTGCAAATAGTATCACAGTGTTCATCACGATCCCTATTGTTCTGTTCATCATATGAGCAAATCTTGGCTTTGCTTTGTAATATCTTCATCACGATCCCTATTGTTCATTCTCTTATGATGTTCTTCAGAGTCTCCTAAAGTTGATAGCACATGGCCTTATCAAGGGGACAACGGACACAAGCTGGAGCTGCCCTCTAACCCCAAAGAAGTAGAAGATTTGCGACGTAATTCAGCCACGAATCCGCTGATTGCGTTTACGTTCGACGAGCTGAAGTTAATCACGGGGAAATTTAGACAGGATCGCGTGTTAGGCGGAGGAGGATTTGGGAGTGTTTATAAAGGTTTCATTACAGAGGATTTGAGGGAAGGAATTGTTTCTCTTCCAGTTGCTGTTAAGGTTCATGATGGATTTAATAGTTATCAAGGCCACAGGGAATGGCTGGTAATGTTCTGTTCTTCGTTCTTTTGTGTTTGATTATTATATATACTGTCTCTAATTAAGAGTACTGTTTTTTTAGGCAGAAGTCATATTTCTGGGGCAGCTTTCTCATCCTAATTTGGTTAAGTTGATTGGATATTGTTGCGAAGACGAGCATCGGGTGCTCGTTTATGAGTACATGGCTCGAGGGAGCGTGGAAAACAATCTGTTTTCAAGTAAGCAGCCTTCTAAATCCCACGTTTTTCTTTGTCAGCCTTAACTTCTGTATTGGGATTGTTGTAATAGCCCAAGCTCACCATAAGTAAATATTGTCTGCTTTGGCTCGTTATGTGTTGTTGTTAGCGTCGCGGTTTTAAAACGTGTCTACCCGTTACGTGCTAATGGTGGACTTGGGCTGTTACAAGTGGTATTGGAGCCTGACACCGGGCGGTGTGCTAATGAGGACGCTGGACCCCAAAAGGGTGGATTGTGAGATCCCACGTCGGTTGGACAGGGCAACAAAGCATTCTTTATAAGAATGTGGAAACCTCTCCCTAGTAGGCGCGTTTTAAAATGATGAGACTGATAACGATATGTAACGGGTCAAAGCGGACAATTATGCTTTTGTTCGATATACCGTAAGTACATTGATTTTAATAATGAAGCATCGACGTGTATCAATAAACATAAATGAAGTACAAACAGAAAATAAGACATTAGAACCTGCAGGACTTAGGTTGGGATGTCGTTATGGTGATGAGAAAACAAACCTTACGTGTTTGACGATGATCGTGACGAGACTACGAATGGTTTTAAATTGTGTAAATGGTTTAAAATTGTTGGATGGTTTGACGATGATCGAATTTTGTACTATTTCGACCGTTCTATCGATGAATCGTCGGTAGTATGTTATGTTCACATTCCATGACTGCAGGAGTGCTGCTTCCTTTGCCTTGGACCATCAGAATGAAAATTGCCTATGGTGCAGCAAAAGGACTGGCATTTCTACACGAAGCTGAAAAGCCCGTCATCTATCGTGATTTCAAGACGTCGAACATTCTGCTCGATTCGGTTGGTTTATTATTGCCTTTCTGTGTACATTTAAGAAGATTTTAGCTCACTCTCCCTATCACGAACGGTTCGGTTTGAATACTGACCGATCACTTTGGTTCAACACCAGGACTATAATCCAAAGCTTTCGGACTTCGGTCTCGCAAAAGATGGACCGGTTGGTGACAAATCTCACGTCTCGACTCGTATAATGGGAACATATGGATACGCTGCACCGGAGTATATATTGACAGGCACGAGTTCTTTCTTTGCCTTTATCTTTTGGTTTCTGCCGGGCATCACATTAAGTCTGGTATCTTTTTCTCCTCAGGACATCTAACCCCTCGTAGCGACGTTTATAGCTTTGGAGTTGTTCTTCTCGAACTACTCTCGGGAAGGAAGTCTCTGGACAAACTACGGCCAGCTCGAGAGCAAAACCTTACCGATTGGGCTCTTCCTCTCATGAAACAGAAGAAGAAGCTGATGAACATCGTCGATCCGAGGCTCGGAGGAGAATATCCAGTCAAAGGATTTCACAAAGCAGCAATGCTGGCTTACCATTGCCTAAACAAGAACCCGAAAGCAAGGCCGCTGATGCGAGACATCGTCGACTCGTTGGAGCCGTTACTCGAACCAAGTGATGAGGTTATAGTAGCATCCTCCTTGCCAGCAGGGGATGGGACTGGGAGAACGGAAAATTAAGTCTGAAACTATAATTAGTTTTTTTTTTTTTTTTTTTTTTTTTTTTTTTTTTTTTTTTTTTTTTTTTTTTTTTTTTTTTT